GTTGCGTTTTCATCGTTTCTGCCTATGCTCCTACTGACTGCAGCTCTAATGAAGTGGAAGATGACTTTTACAGAAAGCTCTCTGAACTTTTTCAAAAAGCCAAACGCTCAAATTTATTACTGGTAGCAGGTGACTTTAATGCCCAAGTAGGTAGCTTGAACCAAACAGAAAGAAATTTAGGTGGGTATTTTAGTATTCCAACTCAGCGAACAGATAATGGTGTTCGTCAGTTACAACTGTGCTAAGACAGTCATTTGCTTTTAGCAAACACTAGTTTTAGGCATAAGGAGAGACACTGTCTAATATGGCGACTTTCTGCACCAAACCAATGATGAACTCAAATAAAACATATTACCATCAGTCATCGTTGGAGGGTCTGGATAGAAGACCGTCGCTCATTCTGGAATGCCTGTTTGGACTTCGATCATAGTCCAATATGAACACGCATTTGCTTGCTCCTCACCGCAGGCAGAAAAGCCACATTAAGAAGACCCATTAGAGTTGAACTCAGTGACGAGAAAGCCAAAAGTAGATTCCAGGAACAACTGAAGTTAGATTCAAGAAGTTTTATAAACGAAACTGACCCAGATGTTACTAGGAAAGATATACAAACAGCTGTGGAAACAGCAGCGATATCTACTGGCGATTTAAACCAAAAAGTCATGAGAGACCAATGGATTTCTGCTAAGTCCTCGTAAATTCATCATTCATCCATCAGGATCTGAACACGATGAAGAGCTACTCTACAGCTAACAACTATTTTCAGTCGGCCTGAATGGAAGTAGGTCCCTCGACTCTAATTGAAATTAAAAAAAGCTATAGCTAGTCCTAAGCGAGGAAGGGCACCTGATCCAGATGGACTGGTTCCAGGAGTCTTTAAGTATGGTGATCAAGTTTCAGCAATTAGGTTGACTAATATTTTAGGTAAATTCTGGAAACTGAATGTAATTCCATCTGACTGATCGCAATCACTGATTGTCCAAATATATAAGAAAGGTGTCGAAATTGCCCTGTAGTAACCGTAGGGGGGTTAGATTGACTAATATAGCACCTAAAATATTAGCCTGAATAATTATCAGGTGCCCAACTAAGACTCGTCAATAGCAAACACGGGAAAATCAGTCTGACTTCATCGATCACATGTTCACTATCCGTCAGGTATTAGAACACAGGCATGCTTATCGGCGTCAGATAATCATAACTTTTGCTGACTTAAAAGCGCCATTTGACTCTATAGACTGAGAGGTGCTGTGGTAGTGTCTGTCATTGAAATGTGCACACCAGAAGTAAGTAAACCTCGTGAAGGCTCTTTACTAAAACACTACCAGTAGAGTGAGAGCTTATGGCGAACTGTCATCTGATTTTAAAATCTCGAGTGGTGCCCGACAAGGTTGTCCACTATCCCCATTTTCGCTTAACTTCATTACAGACCTATTGCTGGGAATAACACTCTCGTCGACTGAATTTTCAGGAATTCATCTCCTACCCGTAGGTCCACACTAATCGACTTAGAATACGCAGATGACATAGTCCTGTTTGGTGAAGATGGTTATAAAATGCAGTCTTTCGGTAGCATTGAATAACAATGCCAGGATGTTTGGGATGCATTTTTCCACCTCTAAATGTAAATTGTTACTCCAGGACTGGCCTGCATCAACACCTGAACTAAGGATAGGGAGTGAAGTAGTCGAACGTGTCGATAACTTCACTTATCTTGGAAGTTTGATCAGCCCTAATGGGTTATTTATTATTATTACATTATTTTATTTAAACACATAAATATTGGTACAAGGAATCACCAGATAAATATGCGCCTCACAAATCTCATTCGATTTGTGTGAGGGCTGTGATACTGCCCAGATATAAGCAGGTGGTTTTCTTAGGGGCCCACACCAGGAGCCTTTGACCTAAAGGCCTAGTCCACAAGGCAGTGGAGCATAGTAAGGTGATGCAGTCCCATGGTAGCCGGTGACCAACAGTTGGTTCGTACGCCATTCGTTCCTTCAGGATCCTGGAGCCCATGTGCACCATTGGTTTGGAATCAGGGTTTTACAACTTTCTGTGTCCACCAACCCGGTTAAAACGCCGGACATTCGCTTTTCGTCCTCTGACATTTGTGAACAACACCACCGCCACGAGAAGGCAGTGAGTAGGACTTCCCTGACAGAGGCTATATATTCGCGTGGCCATATGAGAGCATTTCGAGAGGGAGAACAGACTCTCCCCACTCTCGGCCGTACCAGAACATTTGGGGGCGCCCTAATGGGTTGGTTTCTGGTGAAGTTTCAACACGGATTCAAAATGCTCGTCTGGCTTTTGCCAACTTACGTCACCTATGGCGAAGATGAGATATAAGGACAAAGTATTACTGCTCAGCAGTTCACTCTGTTCCACTTTACAGCTGCGAAACGTGGTCATTAAGAGTAGAATATACTCGTAAGTTACTAGTATTTGACCACAGATATCTTAGAAATATTGCTCGCATCTGCTTGGACCACCGGGTTGGTAATCGTGAGGTTAGACGCAGGGTATTAGGAAATGATGGTAAATCAGTTGATGAGGTCATGAATCTTCATCGACTGAGATGGTTGGGCCACGTGTTAAGTATGCCTGATTACCGATTACCACGACGCGCTATGCTTACTAGTATTGGCGATGGTTGGAAGAGAGTTAGGGGTGACCAAACCAAAACGTGGCATCAGTGCTTGAGGTCACAAACTTCTCGTCTGATCCATGTTGGTAGATGCAGACTACTTGGTTGGGGTCCGCATGACTATCGTAACTAATGGTTAGAGACTCTGTGTGACATGGTTCAGAATCGATCACAATGGCGTAGGTGTATACACTCTTTATCTTCCCTTAAACCTTGATATTAAATATGCTTCATATCTGTCTTTCTTCCTGCACTAGATCCTTATATACACTCTTTGTTTTATATATCACCCCACCAAATTGACTACCACTATGTATTTGGTGTTTATCTTGTTGTGCTAACGAGGTATGGCAACTTGGACCGACGCATATGTGTGCCTGGTCCTACGTTGTAGCTAAGTGATTGACTTTTGTGAACAATTGATCATACCACGGGCGCATGGCAGTGATACATGTGAGGTAGTTCGTTGTACACCTAGGTCTAAATACGGGTTAGTGACTATAATAGGAATATACCGTACTCCACATTGTCTTGTTTATAGCTTTAACTTAAGTAATATATTTTCTTGGAGTATGGCAGAATGTTGTCTAATCATTAAAGATTTCAACGCGCCGCATGTCAACTAGATAGAGCTTACAACCTCTGGTGGAGGTTTCGATAGTAACCTGCTGTCAACCATTATTCGGTATACACATGTGCACTATGTCACAAAACAGACATTTATTGACCTGAAATATGAACCATCACTGCTGGAACTTGTCATTACATACCACTATAACGATGTTATCGACATTCATCACGTCCCACTGGCAAATAGTGATCACGTACTTTATTTTGTTTCGGACACTTGGTATACAATACATATCTACCCCACCCCGTCCCAAGATCTGAAGAGCCAACATTCGGGCGATCTGAGATACAGATGGATCGATAGAAGACGAGTGTGATGAGTTTAAAGTCACAATCGAGTGCGCAACCTAACCGTTTACCCATGATTAACACAAAGGCTATCATGGATTAACAAGGAAACTCGAAAGATGTTGAAGCGCAGGGAACACTTCTAGGACTTATTCTTGTTAACGGGACATGAATAAAAAATGTGTGTAAAAAAAACTGTGAATGCTGAAAAATCCGGAATATACGTAAAAAGACCACAGCTAGATGCCGTATTATTTAAGAAAGACAGTTAGTATATGACAGCCATACTTGCCCAAAACAATTGTTTCCGTATATTAAACGGAGAACTAATTGAAGCGAAGGTTTTCCTCCATTACTGTCACACGAAAATCTAGATATTACTAGCTAAATCAGATCTGGCCGGAGCTGAGACTTTATCAAACTACTTTGCGGAAGTCTACTCTACGGGTATTACTAACAGTACTTGTCATAATTACACTACAGAGATACCAGCCATAGAACCTGTACATGTGAATGAGGGAACTGTTCTTTATTTGATCACTAACCTCAAATCTAGTAAGATACCAGACCCTGATTGGTTACATCCACGGTTGCTGTCTTCTCTCCCGGACTTTATTTCTAGACCATTCGCGATGTTCTTCAACACGTCCCTTTCCCAAACTCAACACCATGGAGATTAGAAATATGCTATAGTCACTCCTATATTTAAAGATGGTCAGACATAGTGTCTAACTGCCGACTCGTCAGTCTAATTATCATGATAGTTAAGTTGCTTGAAAAATAATTCGGGTTAGATCTTCTAGTCTAATAGAATCATGCAATATGTTAATCCCCGAGTAGCACGGGTTTCCAAATAAGCATCCATGCCTAACCGACTTACTGAAAAAGAGGACTGAACAACAGCCCTAGAATATAATCTGTCTGTCGATGTGATATTCATAGACTTTAGCAAAGCGTTTGATAAGGTTTCTTTATTGGGTTCTATGCAGAAGCTCTCGCACTTCGGAATAACAGGTCCTGTACAAGAATGGATAGGAAACTTCTTATGTCGCCGCAGACTGAGTGGGAATAAATTGGATATCGTCTGAATGGAAGCTGGTCAAAAGTGGTGTACCCCAAAGCATCACCTTAGGTCCCCCTACTGTCCTTTCTCTACGTATGTCAACGCGGCAGCTGACAAAGGGTTTTTTGCATTATGGTCACTTCACCGAGATGTGTCGAATTTTATAACCCACCTATGTAAGACCACACTTAAAGCCGCTGGCCTATGTCCAATTAAGGATACCAACTCGCTTGATTGTGCTCAGTGTATAGGGAGAAAATTAGTGAAAGGTCTTCCCAAACTCCAGTATGACGAACGCTTAAAAAGCCTTAATCTCTTCCTTTTTTATCGTAGAACACAAGGTGACCTTATATTCACATTCTGTACTTAAATACGACTTGAGTGTCAATATGTCTTAGCCTAGCGCTCCCTCCAGCATTAATAATCTTCAAGGTCACGGCAAGTAGGTTCAAAAACCGCGATTTCATAAACCTAAAGTGGGGTCCCAATTTTCTCACCGAGCGGTCAATGACTGGAACGCCTACTTGAACTAGTGGTATCAGTCCCATTAGTGAAAATTTTAAAGAAGCTGAAATTTCATTGGGAAGCAAACTGTTGGGATTACCACAGGTCTACCAACTTACCATTAATGGTAAGTTGGTAGACCTGTGCTTCCCAATGAAATTTCAGCTTCTTTAAAATAGAATTCTATTTACTGAAGACTTCAAAATTTCAAAACAGTATAAAAATGAACAATGTAGAAATAAAAAACCCAGAGACTGAAATTTTATGCATTACTTTCATAATGTTTTTAATTTTGTTCAGTAGTGTCTCGTAGCTGTGATACTGTAGTGTAGTGCTTCGTTAATCGATCGTCTCGATAACCGTTATTATATCAATGTGAACGGTGTATAATATCAGGAGACAAAGGGAAGTGGCAACTACATTTCTATTGACAAATAACAGGCTAGATAGCAGTGAGCACATGAGCAAATGTTAGCGAGCGAAGTAAAAATAACATACATGGGAGATGGCTGGTAAGCCAACTCGTTATAAGCAAGCATTAATCAACATTTATAGTCAGACTAAAATGAATGACAGACATGTGATAGGTAGGATAAGAAGGGTGCATACACATACGCTCATATAAAAAAATAGTCAAGGTCAATAAGCGAATAATTAACAAGATCAAGATATGACTCATGACGTTATAGGTGAATTGGCTTGTCCAGAAACTAGAATAAGCTATGTAGGTGTAATATAGTACACGACGTTACACTACTCCCCACAATACTGTCAGAATTCTGGCAGTCGGTTAACCCACAAATCAAGACAGACTTCAACTCTCTTTGTGGAATCACACCCCCTTGACAAGTGTAGGTAGGTAGCTGTCGTTCATCGACTTCACAAAAACAACACAATCCACATCTTCGGGTTATCAAAGTGGTTGACAAATAGGTACTGTCTTAGGATAGCTACCAAATTTAGTGACTAAATCCGGTTCCCATGTTAATTTCTTATGCGGCAGTTTTTGAGTGACGGTTGCACGAGCCAAGCCCCTTCTTCAATATGCAACTGTCTTTTGTATTTCATTGGGTTTGCCGAAATCTGTTACTAACCTCGATTTCAAAGACGATATTTGTTTACATACAGTGGACAATTGGGTCTTTCACCAGGTTAGCTGCACTTATAAAATAGTTGGTGTTCGTAAACACAGCTACCTACCTTGTTTGGTTTTCTTGGTGTGATCTAATATTTTCAACACTTAGCACCTAAGCTTGTTCTTTCTTTAATGTCCATACACACCGGTTAAAAGAATGTTTCTTTTCAGTTACCGATACTGCTCCATCGTGGCATTTCCTTTTACGAGGCCAGCTCAGAACATTCTCCCCAGTATTCTATCCAATTGAGTCTGACAATCCATGTTGACATTGAGTTTAGGTACGTGTTTGTCAGCACTTGATGAGGAACCTGGGGAGTACAACATAGTCGGTTTTAAGGGTTCATGCTACTATTATCATTATGGTGCTCAAGGTGTCAATGACCAAGTAAGTTTTAAAAGCAAATTATTTTAAGGGCTGGGGCTGTGGTTACAGAACACTGCAAACCATTTTGTCTTGGTACAAACTTACAAAATCCTGCCCTTTCGATGTACCTACTTTACTAGAAGTTCAGAATATATTGCATGAAATCGGAGACAAGCCTAGAGTTTTTGTAGACTCTCATGATTGGATTGGAACATACGAATGTGGATTAGTAATACAACACCTGACAAAGGTAAGTGCTGAGTCCTTAAAGAGCCGTTAGCATGATTTTAAGATAATACGTGTGGAAAAAGGCAATTTTACGGAGGAAATCATCAAATTTCTTATTCATCATTTTCAAGCAGAAGGATCACCAGTCATGCTCGGTAAGTAGAAACCTCGTTTAACTTTTTAGGAGGATACGACGACAGTTCATCAAAAGGAATTATTGCAGTAAAAACGTTTCTTGACCAGCCAACAATGTTGCTAACTTGTGTAAGTTGGTTAAATGATATTCCAAAACAGTGATTAGATCTCGTTTGTGTTACGAACATGTATGTAGACTAAGAATTATACTTGACAATTAAGCCAGTACCTAAAATCCTTGGCTAAACAGTCTGACACTTTGTAAGCTGAACGGTTTAATGAAACAGTTCATTGTTTTGTTCAAGAATACTGCAAAAATCGAGAGAATCATTCAAGTTGTCTATCAGAAATGCTTTGTATTCTAATGGTGACTATATTGATTGTGCTTGACAGTCCAAGTGTTTGGAATTCAATAGGCATCACTTGTGTTTGTCACCATATTCGTTTTACACTTGAACATAAATATAGGAGGAAGTGAATTGTGCTTTATTTTATTTATTTAAACACAAATATTGGTACAAACGGGCACCGGATATATATATATATGCGCCACACAAATCTCATTTGATTTGTGTGATGGCTGTTATACTGCCCGGCTGCCCAGACCGAAGCAGGTGGTTTTCTTAGGGGGCCACACCCGGAGCAGGCAGTGGAACATCGTGAGATGCAGTCCCATTGTAGCCAGTGATTAACAATTGATTCATGCGCCATTTGTTCCCTCAGGATACTGGAGCCTATGTACACCATTGGTTTGGAATCAGGGTTTTCCAACTCCCCTTGGTGGACTTGCCGTGTCCATCAACCTGGTTAAACTATCGGTTATTCGCTTTTCGTTCTCTCGGTTTCGTAAACAACACCCGCGCCACGAGAGGGAAGTGATTAGGACTTCCCTGGCAAAGGCTATATTCGCGTGGCCATGTGAGAGCATTTCGAGAGGGAGAGTGGACTCTCCCCACTCTCGGCCGTACCAGGGCATTTGGGGGCAGTGGAATTGTGCATAGCAATATATCAGACTATACACAATCATAATACACAGTCATAATACAAGTGTAAATATTACTTACGTGAATACAAGGCGCAGCGTCAGTGCAAGCTAAAATCCCATTTTCCTATATTTAAGGCGAAATGCCCCTAATACTATCAATGAATTTGTATAAACAAACTCAAACAGCAATGAAAGCTTTTGACGGAGCTGTTTTCCTCTGAATTCGAAGTTCCAGGTGCGGCTTATCAAGTTTTGTTTGTAGATTCTAGACTTGATGTGGGAGTTTTAAATCCACATATATAAGCCCAATACGTAACCAAGAGTGAGAACATATCATTGAACAAAGTGGTCAAGGCAACTACGAAGTCGCTACCCCACCTGTCTCCATAAAACCACCAACGAATACGCTTCAACTTGGTATCGCGTAGTGAGGCATAATATATGATTAAATGCATGAAACGGCACATTTCCAAGTAGTTGAATCTAAGTAACGATCCAATTTCGTTTTAGTATTTGTCTGTGTTAGGCGCAAAGTGTTTTTATATCATGTACATTTATGAAGTGTGATGTCTATAGAGTAGATATGACCTACTAAAGACCAATGCTATTACTGTTTTTAAGGATCCCCACTATTTTGAAATACATGGCAGCCCAACTATCGCTAAATTATGTAAAGAAAAGTGGTTACGATGGTGCAAAGTTACTGAATTATCAGAAAGACACTTTTATAATTTATGTTTGCCTTTATGAGAAAATACATTTATTTTTACAAAACAAAGCTTATGGTATATCCTTGCAAAATTTATCATACGTCTCTTTAAGAATAAGATAAGAGTCCAAGTACCGTTCTTCGTTATCACGACAGGCAGCTTTCCATCTGCAGATTAGAAAAACCAGAGAGTATTCAGTGTGACTATGATATTGCTACATAAAAGTACCTTTTATAAACTCGCAGAATCAGTGTACATTGTTTCGAAAGCTTCATAGTGGGTTTCGATAGGTCACATATTGGCAAAATACGACTTCGCCTTAGAGTGTATTCTACACGACAACAGATACTTCCAAAAATCCAAACTTATAGGACGTTCCAAGTGAAAGGATTAAAGAAGGTAAAACATACCGCTTACATAAAGAATTGTCTCGAAACAAGGACATTGGCAAGCAGTTAGTATGGCCGGGTTAAGGATATAACACAAGCAGTGTTAGAAATCATACTTCAAATAACTTCGCTAACGCCATATGATGATTAGCAGGGGACAGAATTTATGAGGGAGAAACTAATCCGCAGTTTATGCAGAGACTAAAGCTAATATTCTAATAGCCATACTCATACTTTGTTATGCAACGTTTTCTGAAATGACAGTAGGACAGGACTTTGGTAGTTTAATTACTCAATAACTAAGTTAGTTCGACTTTAAAAGCCTATTGCTTTCTAGCAGTATTTCCATCTAATCATATAATGATAACCACTCTTCAAAATATTTGTGTAATTTGAATGTAATTTGAGCTGTAGATATTAACGTGAAAACAAACATTCGATCAATAAGCATTTCAAGTGGGACTAATTGGCAACAATTCGCCTAATAGTTATCGATATATTCAACCATTTTGTAAAAAGCCATTAGTCTGGAAAATACTCCATCGCTTCCTGGCTAAATAGAGCTGATGTATTATGAAAGTACTCATAAAATCGTCCGGCAGTTTAAGAAATGGTACTTACTTTCTCCGAATTTCTCTCCAACGGACAATGTGCTGTTCCAGTAATCCTTCAGGAGACATTTCCTTAGGTGGGTTCTAAATGTTTTTAGAATGTTAACAAACGCACCGATAATTACCTCAACGTTAATAAGGAATGGCTGACCGTCCGGTGGGAGAGGAGGTGGTATCCTGATGTCATTATCAGTCAACCCATCATTTGGCTTAGGTAGCGTGTAATGACAGTCAGGCAACTGATCACTGTTCTACATCAGAAATGCCAACAAAAACAAACCATCAAAATAAGTTCACACGGAAAAATATAGATAATAAATTCTAGAAAATAAGCAGATACCCTGCACCGAATAGTAGTAAAAAATGTATTTAACAATATGGTAAACATTTGTTAATGCACGTTTATGGAAGTATCAATGTGAATGGGTACAATATTCAATTGACGAGTCAAACAAAATGCCTATTAATTCTTAGAAGAATGGTTATATGAGATTTCAGTACACCGTAAATTCCACATTGCTTATAGGTTCTCAGTTAGATCTTGCAGCCAAACAAATGCATGCACTATTCAATGTGACGTAATAGTCAGTAATTTGTTTAGAACCCAGTTTATGATTTGAATATGTGAGTAAAGAATTCAAAAGTGTGCCTCTGGACCCGCCTGCACGTTTTTGCCCTATTTCACAGTTATGCACTTTACTCAGCTTTTAATTATTCATGCAGCTAGTAACAGCTGGTGTGATTTTCAGAAAACAGATTCCCATCTTTTCCTAATCGGTAATTGATAATAATATCTGAAGTGTTAAGTTCACCCTGTTCAGCAGTCAGTTGGAGAACATGGGCAAACTTTTAGATAAGCTATTAACGACGACTTAATATTGTGTAAAATGACGTGTAAGCTTATCGGGTGTGCAGTGTTTGTATACGCTATATATTTTGTTGAGTGACTACTGACAAGTTTCTAGACTACTTACCAGCAAGTCAACACTAAATAGTAAAGCAAGATTTCGCTACTTGTTGAAAAATGAGTACAATATGACAAAAAGATCTAGAGTAGCCGTTTATTTATAATGTGCTAGTTTTTAAGACCGTATAAAATAGTAACAATTGCTACTGTCTTGAGAAGCGCTAGAAATACGATGTTTATTGATTCACAAATTAGTTTTTAACAACTACGAATTGAGGAGTGCATAAGATGTGACAGGAATATGATGGTGAGTTGAGAGATATGGTCAAAATGACGCTGCGTGAGATATTGCCTTTGATCGAAAAAGAGAACAAGTTCCGACCATTATGCAACTATAGTCAATTGTAGTCACACAGAAGCGGACTTGATGACGGACATATCTACTTAGAGATATGAAACCCAGATAAAAAGAATAAAGACTTTAGGCGGTTTAAGATTCAACTGAGTGCGACATGAGGATAAAAAACGTCAGAGAAACGAGGCCCTAGATTTGATCTACACTTCATCAGGTCTCACGTTAACGCAACACCTGGAAGTGATACTCAATCTCGAGTAACCGTAGCAGTTCGGAAGCTAATTACACTATTGTCATGAACTGTTGATACAATAGCAGCTGATTGTGACCTTTTATTTGCTTTACTGTGTTATCTTTTATGGTTTATATGAGAACTGAGGGCCAGTTAAGAGTCGCTATGACTGTATTAGTGATGACAGTGATAAAAAATAGACAATAACAATACGGATGAGGAGATATTTATGAAAGTAAGGGAGGGGAAGACAATAATGAGTAGTTATCAATTGCAGATAACTCCGAAGTTAGACTGATATACGATAGGAGTCTGCAACTGTAAAAGTATATGTACAAGGTGAAGTTAAAAAAATGTGGCAAGCCAATAGGTAAGCTTGTGAGGATTCATTTACTGATGCTGGTTAGACAATCGAATCTTTTCACTAGATCCATGAAGATAAAGGGCTTGAAAACCTGGACGCGAATACCTATTCAGATATAGGTTAGCATAACAAATATAGGAATGAGTGAGTGGACGTTTGCAGATGGTTCAACTAAGATATTACACCCTATGAGGTTCGAAATTCTCAGTTGGGCAACAATGAGGCCCAGTTAAAATGAACTATAATCAGAGTCTACAAGATGCCAGTCAGTTATCTTCAATGCAGAGCCTGGTATTAGATATATTTAGGTAAAGAGTTATCATCCAACAAAACAATCAAAATTAAATAACGTACTTCCTGGTCATCATCAACATTTGGAACATCATTCCATGATGAAGAATCACCCTGATTAAGATTACGTATCCAAGATCTAGCCATTGGATACAAAGGTGCGTTTTCGCTAAACTGCCCAAAGTCCACACTTCTCTCAAAAACCTTTATGACAAATGATTCTAAAAAGTTAGTACACATTAATTCCTCAAAACCTTTGTATGTTTCTTCTTCCTCAGATGGCACTCGTCGTTTCTTCCTTTTAATGTCATTCGGAGATACTTTATAAAATGGACTCCTAAACTTTTCCTTTTCTGAAGAATCTCGCCGACTAGCCATATCATCCTTATACTTGGTGCTCGTTTTGCTAAAAAATACGCCCATGAATGTCCATTATAAATTAGGGTCATACGTTTTAGCTGGGTCCTCTTTTAAGATCTGCAGCAACGAATCCAGTTTGTCACGAGCATACGAAAGCTCGGTTTCTACGAGATTAATTTAGTGACAAGTAACAAACCTTCTTGATCAGCCCACCAACCGGTTTCGTTCCAACATGAACTCATTTCTAAACAGTGCACTTAGTCACTCAACAATAGGAAAAAGAACAATCCACGTATAACTGTTGGTTAGTAGAGAGTCTGAAACAAGCAAAATAAGAAACATAAACATGTACGGCCAGTAGTGAGGCGGAT